CGCCACGGTGGAGCCCGGGTGGGCGGCGGGGACGGCCGGCAGCCCCTTTTGTGTGCTGCGTTCGCCACCGTGAAGTGCGCGCAAACACACGTCTTCGCGGCCGCGAAGTGCGATTAGCGAGACAGTCCTGAAGAGATCCCTGGTTTTGCCTTTCTGAAACGATCCTTGCTCTGCATTGGCAGAAGTGAGAAGTAGGACGGCGCGTTGACGCGCTTGTTTAATTCAGCAGGACCCTGATTGCCTCAGAAAGCTGAAAATGATCGTCTATATACAATTTCTTTTTCAGCAAAACTAACACAATTTGTAAGAAGTGTGCTCAAAATGTGAAGCAATTTGGGACGGTAAGTATGATGTTTTTATTTCGTGTTATTGTTACCGGCCAGTTAATGTTCTTTACAAAACTGGACCCTTCAGAAATAGGTGTTGTATTTTACATGTTGTAAAAATATGTATTGTATTTTACGAAGTAAATTTTTTGTTGGGAAGATGACAACATTTAAAAAGGTCAATGTGCATGTTGTGTGTATATTGAATTTCAGTCTGAAGTTTACAAAGCTGTTCTTTAAAGACTCAGATATACAAACTTGTTCTTTGAAGAAAGATTCAGATATACACACGCTTATCCATAAAGATTACATAATCAGACTTTCCCCCTCTTTGGAACTCCTTCAGAAACATTTTTGTAAAATAGCACAGTTCAGATATTTATGCACAAAAGTCATGACACTATCCTAGTACAAATTATCTTATGTTCATATTACAATCATTATAGGTGTATCATACCATTATTTGTTATTGGTCAAGGTGCCAATCTTAAGGCTCTGTGCTATCCCAAGTTGCCTTTTAAATATCAAAGAAAATCAAGGCATATGTGCTAGTTATGTTGGCTCTGTCAATTTTTAAAATTGAAAACTCTAGTGTATCTCCTAGGTGTCTATACCTGTAGATGATGAAAAGTTAATGCCTTTTAAATCAGTGATGCCGTAATCAAGCTTACAAGGATGTTCAGCTAGTTGAAGTCTATTTTCCCAAATTTTGGATACATGAGACTTTTCTATCCAGGTGTAGCTTTACTTTCATTCTTTGAAACCTTTTTTGTGTGCAGGTTTTCTGTTACCTAATGTACTGTGCAAATCATAAATGCTTTTCTTGTGGTCTTACTTAAATATCCCGATGGAGTAACAATGAATTTCATGACTCTAAAAATAAAAATTAGTTGAATGAATATAAACGTGATAAATGTCATAGAATATGACAAGGTGATATACTTAACAAATTTTTTTACCTGTCAGTTTTCTTAATTGATCCCAGAGATATGTCTAATGTTGGGTATGTTTTATGTAGCAAGTTTTTAATATATTTAAATATCTCCATTTTAAAAAAATGTACACCTCTTTTTCAGCCCAAACCTTGTCAGTACTGTAACATAATTGCAGCATTTATTGGTACCAAGTGTCAGCGTTGCACAAATTCAGAAAAAAAATATGGACCTCCTCAGACCTGTGAACAGTGCAAACAACAGTGTGCTTTTGATCGGAAGGAGGAAGGAAGAAGAAAGGTATGCTTTATTTATGTTATGACATCTGGAAATTAAATAAAATACCAAACAAGTTGGAAGTTGTTATAACTAATACACTGCTGAGACTTGATCTATTCTTTGGGTCCATGAAAGGAGGAGGTAGTTAGAGAAAAGTGCACATACAGTGAGTTTCTCCTTGTTTGCATGATACATAGGTTTTTCTAGACCAGTTAAGTTTACTACTTTAAAAAATATTCCATGATGGTGATGGCTATTCTGTACTATTTGGTTATCCCCCATATTGTGTTCAGGAGATTTAACTCATTACTGTTATATAAGTCCTTTCATCCAACTAAACACATTCTCGATTGACAAATTTTTCAGTTTCTTACTTCTGAGAGCAGGTGAAAATAAATAAAAAAATATCTGAAACTGGTTGCCACAAACTTCTGTTGTTAAGTACAAAAGAAATGGTCTTTTCTAAATTGTCACCTTTTTCACAATGCAGCTGGGAGCTGCAGACATATCCAGTATTTGCCTCAGACACCACTCTGACTAGTATTCCGTACTTTATGTATTTTATTCGGATTATAAACCTGAAAAGACAGCCTTCCATGATGAGGTAAATTCACATCAGCAGCAACCAGGAATAGAATTTGGAATGACGTACATTCACGTCAGTGGTCACGAATGAGCTAACCTTTTGCCGACTTCTTGAAGTTGGTGTGAAAACAATGCCTGGTTACACGTTGGGACGCAGGATCGGAAGTTAGTCTTGTACCTTTTGAGACAGGCTCATATTTGCAACCGTTGTTTGTTTTTCTTCACCGACAGTGACTTAATAAGTGTGTGTGTGCGCGTGGCATTCCTCTTCTGATCAGCATCCACACGGGCCTCCTGTTGTCTGTCAGTTTCAGTTGATTTGGAGGATGACTGTCTCTTTGAGGGGCTCCCTCAGACCCCCCAGCAATGTATGTACCCTAGTTATAAGACACGTCCCTCCAGCACTTTCCGTGTGAACAAACAGAAGACAAAAACTTAGTTTTATTTTTACAGGGTTAGTCATAGTAATTTGAGGAAGAAGTCTCTTGTCCTCCCCTTGGACACACATGCAGTTGATTCTCGTTATTTGCAGTAGTTAATGTTTTATAGTGTGGGTACAAACACTGAATTAGTGAATATAGTAGCTTTCTCATTGTTCATGGGGGATACTTTCCAAGACCCTCTGGATGCCTGCAACTAGGGATAGGACTGAACTCTTGTGTGTACTGTTTTTTTCCTGCACATACACACCTCTGATAAAGTTTACTTTTGCACAGTGAGAGATTATCAACAATAACTAATAAGACAATGAGATAGTTATAACAACATATTTTAATAAAAGTTACATGAACATAGTCTCTCTGCCTCTCAGAATATCTTTCTCTGTAATAATTTTAGACTGAGGTTGACCATGGGTAACTGAAACTGTAGGTAAGGAATACTGTACTAAACCGTTGCCCCTAAGGGAAATACAGGATTGAGTTCCTGCTTCTGTGATAACATGTTGGTCACTTGATCAGTACGGAGCTTTACTATCTGTGTGCTTTTGTTTAAAGACACTTTATTTAACATATACTGTGGATTAATTTAATTGAACCCACACCAGCAGCACCAGTGGTGCCTGAACGAAACTTTTGTAACACTGTGGGCCTATATGACACAACACAGCCTTCGTGAGTTTAGGAACACTGTACAGGGGCGCCCAGCAGTACTCTTTGGGACCATTTTAAACATCAGAATCACCAAGAGAAAGCACAAAAGCTTAAAAAACGACACTAAGTAGACTACGGAAGGGAGACTTATCTGAGAGCTAAAACAAGAAGGCAGAGCACTTGTTCATCTCATCTGTGAGCATGTGCTGTCAAGTGACAAATTTTTCACCATACTGTATGTGTGCAGATGACCACAGAAGTGCTACAAGTCTTGATTTGGGGGGTTGCAGGTAGATTTTAGTAAGTAGGGAAATTTGCAGATGTGAAATCCAAAAATAATGAGAATCAACTATATGTTATTTGGGCTTCCCTGTTTTTCTATAAATGCCTAATACCCACTGTAGTGGGAGATATTTTATCGTTTTAATGACAGTGATTTAAGAATTTAGTCTATGTTGGAAGTATATCAATTTATGCTTATTTTTCAGGCTCAAGGAAACATAACGTGTTTTTCTCTTCAAATTAAAAATGCCTCATAATCAATGGTAGTCATATAGCATCCTCATTAATTTTATAATCCACCACACAAATATTTCCCAAGTTTCAGAAAAGTCTAATTTTACTTCCATTTTGCAAAAGTCTGCGAATGTGTGTGCGCATGCACGTGCTCATGTGTGTGAAACATAGCTGAAAGTTGAGCAGTGTATCTTGCCTGGTTCACTGACAGCCAGATTATATGGGTATGTTTAATCTAATACATATATTTTCTTGAAAGGTTGATGGAAAGTTGTTATGCTGGCTCTGTACGTTATCATACAAGAGAGTTTTACAGAAGACAAAAGAACAAAGGAAGAGCCTGGGGTCTTCACATTCCAATTCATCTTCTTCATCTCTTACTGAGAAAGACCAGCATCATTCAAAACATCATCACCACCATCATCACCATCACCATCGTCACAGCAGTAGCCATCACAAGTAAGTACTTTGAAATCATGTTTTCTAAAATTCTTCCTGGCATTCTAATGTCATGTATTAGTGTTAACTTCTTGCAAGTCTTGACTATGTTAGTCTAGTCTCCATTGTGCACAGTAAGCTTCTTCAGTGTCTAAGGCCACATCTCTACTTTATTCAGTGTATAAAAGTACATTCATGGGATGTATTTAGCTAATTACCATAATAATAAAGACAGAGTATTTAAGAAATTAATCTGTAAAATTAAGATCATACCATGAAGTCAAAACACAAGTACATCAGTTCATTAACACTTCAGTGATTTGAGCTGTCAGAAGCCTCAGTATTCTTTTTTTGTTTAAATAATTGTTAGGCTTTTACTTGTAAAAATTATATTTATCTCAGTTGTCATTCACTTTGGTAAACAAACAAGTGATTGCAGTGATTAGGGCTTTGGAGGGCACATTGTAACACTATCATTTTTTATTATGGTGAAACCGTTCTTGTTTTTTTTTTTTTTTTTATTGAGTGGCCACATTTTTCTTCTGAATAACACTATTAGGTGAGAACTAAAGAGATGCTCTTGTGAATTCTCTGCATTATAGTGTAGTAGCAACCTAATTTCATCTGGTGTCAGGATCATTCACCCTGGCCAAGTAGTATGACTCTCTTCTCTGCCTTTTTCTTTTCTTTTTTTTTTGGAGTTGGAGTCTCACTCTGTCACCCAGATTGGAGTGCAGTGGCCACTCCAGCCACTGCAACCTCGACCTGCTGGGCTCCGGTGATCCTTCCGCCTCAGCCTTCCAAGTAGCTGGAACTACAAGTGCGCGCTACCATGCCCGGCTAATTTTTTTGATTTATTATCGAGATGAGGTCTCGCCAAATTGCCCGGGTGGGTCTCGAACCTGCGGGCTCAGGCAGTCCACTCACCTCAGCCTCCCAAAGTGCGGGATTACAGGCTGAGCCTCTGAGCCCGGCTGGGACCATTCTTAACTTGGAGGTTTCCCAAAATGTGAGAAATAATATTGTAAGCTGTAGTACTTTGCTGTTTTAAAAACACATTTTTAGGTACTCTTCAAATACAGACAACCACAGTCATCTCTTGCTTTATTTGGGGGTTAGTCCTGGGATCCCCTCATATACCGAAACCCACACGTACTCAAGTCTGCCCTGCAGAGCCTGCCTCAAGGAAAAGTCAGCTCTCTGTGGGCACGGCCTTCACAGCCTCCACATACTAAGCTTGCCGTCTCCATTTGGTTGAAGAAAATCTGAAATTCAAACCTGGGTTGTTCGAAGGTCAACTGTACTTGATTCTTAAAGTGACTTGGGTGGGGGGAGGCGTTACACAGTAATAGTGTCTTCACCCTTGATGTGAGCTGTGTTACGGTGTCTTAAAATGGGATTTTAGTCTTATGGAAAAATCAAGAACACTAAGTCAAATTAAAAACACATTTGCACACATTAAAATGGAATAAACGGGGACGTGACACTCATTTTCAGAAGAATTTATTGTTTTTAATCTAAATTTTTCAATGAGTCTTAATGTAGTTTCAGATGGTTATTTGGATTGTATTTTTGTTTAGAGAAAACTGATGTCTACCACATTTTGGAACACATGATGGTATTTTTGGAATACAAGAGATTTCTCTCTAATTAGTAAGATTTTATTCTGAGCTGTGTGCAATCCCCTATTGGATGATGAGATTTCACTGAGGTACCGATGCTTATTTCTGCCATGTTGTAGTGCTTTCCAGGAGTGGCAGTGGTAGATTACAGTGCAGTAGCTTCTCTCATCGAACTGTTTTGACGAATTCTTGTGGTCTTTGTATCGTTATCCCAAGAAGCAAAGAACATAAATCTCCCTTGTTTTTGCTTCTTGCTTTAAGAAAAAAATATGACAAAATAGCTTTACCCTTATCGCCTATGTCAGACCTACTTCTAAGACTGCCAAAATGTTTCTCTTTCTCTTGTCCTTTACAGATAAATGTGTCTTAGTATGATGTGAAAGAACACAATCAGAATGTTTGTAAGGTTCAAGTTATGTTACAATAACCTATCCTTTTGAAAGGGTAACAGGCTTCAGACAGGGAAAGAGAACAGTGTTGACTTTCAACCTTTTTTTCCCTTTTGGTTACTTAAGAAATACATATGCTATTTTGAACTTAAAGACTAGGGACCGTTTGATGAACAGACAGTTTGTAGGGTCTTGCCTTAAGTCAGTAGATTAGAATAAATATGCAGAGCATACATGTTGTGTTAGATAGTGATTGGTGGGGTTGGGGGGTGTGGTGGCGGCAGGTGAAATGGGCACTGAAGTCAGTCTGAATCCAGGATGGACAGCCCTCAGAAAGCTGAGATGGAGCTCCAGTGTTTCTGATAAATCATTGTGAATGTGATTGTTTTTACTATGAAAGATGGCCTATGTGATCATATGGCTTGCTAATGCTTATAATGAAGTGTGTAAAAGAAGCATGGACAACTGAATTCCTCAGTAAGGCTGCCATTCATTCACAGGGAAGAGTTCCTCAGGCTGATGGAATTTTAGCTACTGTTTCCTCGGCTACTGCCCATTCTAAAGAGCATGATCAGCTTGTAACTTTTGCTTAAAATATGCCTTCAGCTAAAATAATAGCAAATTTTACACATACATATAAATGTATGTACTTGTATCTTATGTCTATACTAGCAGTGTACTAAGTGTTTACATACATAACTCATTTAATCCTCATGTTGGCATAAGGTGTGTATTATGTCTGCTTACATATGAGACAACTAACTGAGGCTTAGGCAATTAAGTAATTTGCACAAGGTCATACAGTTCAGGTCTTCTGATTTCTTTTAAATTGTGTAAATGCATGGAATCTGGTTCATAAGAGATGCTCTGCATGTTCAGTGAATAAATTAGGGGTTGGTGAAGGAATGGCTGATGTGCAAGCACAGGAGAAAAGAAGGTAGGATTCATAGTCAAGTATAACATGCTTATTAGTATTATGGCAATATGGAAAAGAAGCTTCATAGTGTTAGTTATTAGGAAAAGTAAAACAATTTATTACTGTGAAATATCCCAATGGTTTCAGCATGACTTTTCCAGAGTACCAGTTGAAGAGATATCTAGAGAGTTTGGAAAAGATTCTTAGGAGATCTAGAAAAGAATCAAAGACATTAAAATACTTCCTCATTTAAACTGACTTACTATTCTGAGCAACTGGAGTACTTGAAAGGAAGAATCTCCACTTAGGATTATCAGGAAAGCCTTAACTTTAAAGATACAGTTGTTGTGTCTAGATATCAGGGCAGCTGAAGTACAATGATTCCAAGAGTTTATAGAATCTTTTTATGGCATTTTTTATGCTCTGATACCCCACCTTGGGTATTAAGTTGAACTACGGACATCCTGATCAGAAAGAAAATTCTGTCTCTATCATTGTACCTTTCTTAAAGAACTTAAAGTGGCTAGGAGTAATCTGAGTAGAGTTTATCTCCATTATACTATGATTTATTCAACACATATTAGCTTCGTCTGAAAACATAAATATTTCTCTGAACAAAAGATTATAAACATATTTAATTTGATTCCATTGAGAAATAATGTTCATTGTAGATGTGTTAAATAAGTGTTGCTATTAGATGCCATTTGTGTACTTTTCAGAATCAGCAACCTAAGTCCAGAACAAGAGCAAGGACTGTGGAAACAGAGGTAAATATATTAATGTACTTTCTGTAGTATTTTTCTGAATGTATTTTTGTAAATGTGATCTTCATTGAGCTTTGTTGCTTTAGGCTTAAAATAATAAGTTTCATTCAGTGTAGAAGAAAAATAACTTGTTGCTTGCTTTCTCTACCCTTTTAAACTCTAATTGTTCTTAATGTTTGGTTTCAGCCATAAATCCTCTGCAGCAATTCAGAATGAAACTCCAAAGAAAAAGCCCAAATTGGAATCTAAGCCCTCTAATGGAGATAGGTAAAACAAACTCCTTTAGTGTTGTCAAAATTCCACTTAACTGAACAGTTATGACTGATTGCCAGTTACTGCTGGATAAAAGATAGAAATGTGCTTTCTACATTGACTTATTTGAGTTGCCTAGAAAAGTAAATATAAAGCAGTTAAAAAAATTAATTTTAACAATAAGAAAGTGGCACTGAACTATGTTGTTCTATTTGGGGAATAAATTCGGGTTTTTGAAAAAAGAAAACAAATCTGAATAGAGAACAATGTCTTTATTCTTCAAAGAAACACAAGTCTAATTGTGGTATTTTAAATTGACCTGCTTAAAAAGTGTTTTTAGGTTTAAAATACTATGACTTTGTTTTAGTTCATTAGCCAAAAGTTTGCTGATGTTACTGTACAAATTGGCTGCCTATTGCTTTACACTAGAAGTATTGACCCCCTAAAAGCTAATACTGAATTATATTTCTGCAGGTGTATGTAATGTGTGCCATTAGTAAGGTAATTTGCCAGTTGCATCCATTTCTGTCAGGTACATATTTTTTTGCATTAGCTTTAAGGATGTTTGTGGAATTGTCTAATTTATGCAATTTGAACACCTGCTCATTTTCTTTCTACTTCATTAACTGTGTTTTACTTTTTTCTTTTTAGTAGCTCTATAAATCAGTCAGCAGATAGTGGGGGCACAGACAATTTTGTCCTTATAAGTCAACTGAAAGAGGAAGTGATGTCTCTTAAGCGTCTCTTACAGCAAAGAGACCAGACCATTTTGGAAAAAGATAAAAAGGTGAGAACACAGTTCACTGGAGCCTGGTAAGATTGACATCTTAACTCTTGCTTGGTAATTGCAAATTTTATTAGACTTTCTTTAATAGTTTGGTCATGTTTGTTGTGCATGATTCTTGTGAGACAAATTATGAAAGCCCAAATTGGAATCCAAGCCATCTGATGAATATAGGCAAAATGGTTTTTCAGATTTTAGTTCTAAGAATTAAGTGAGAACTAATTAAAATAGTAATAATTTCTAAACCTTAGTTTCAGTAAGTAAAACCAAGTCTAATATCTTAATAATTTAAAAATGAGATGTAAACAGACGACTTTGTGAACTCGTCGTCTAAGAACATAGTTGGGCATAATCTTGGATGTACTGATCATGTGTTTCTGTCAATCCAAAGTGAATAACGGTGAAAAAGTAATAGTAAGTATGGGGCTTTCTTGTGTGGAGTTGGTGATTAGCAATAGGTCTCTTGGATCATTTTGTAGGAAGTATGTGTGCTTCTTGGGATGTTGTTGATCAGTTAAGTAATGAGGGATATCACATATGTTGCCTGTGTAAGGGAAAGAGGAATGTTAGCAGAACTGTAGACAAATTTAATGTTTTCTTGTACCCTGAAATCAGGATGGCATAACTGTGGGACATGGAGCGGGAAACGGTTCCGAGGTCATTCAGCCCTAGCTGGCTTCAAACCTCAGTGCTGACACTTGGCGTGGCCTTGAGCGGGTGCTCTCCCTCTCTGGGCCTCCGTGTCCTCTCTCAGGGTGGGTGGCGAGGACGTTTGGAAAAGCTCCCACGGTGGGAGCGTTCCTGGAGGGGTTGCCCAGTTTCACATTTTAAAAATTGGAGCCTTAATACTGTCTTAGGGGATGATGGTGGTGGTTAAATGGGCGTGTTTATTGTAGCTTCTGATATGTGTGAGTGCTCGGAGGGGCTGTGACCGACGCTTGCCCTTCTTCTGGGCTTGTGTTATGGTCCCAGACAGTGCAGCTTGACCTGTATCCGGCATCTTATGCAGTAAGTGACCGTGAAAAACATTGTTTTAAAAATCATGACCAGCACGTGATTTAGATGTGTAGAGATGTATGTGAATTATATCCATCTCTGAGTATCCATAGTCGTGTTTGAGTCTGAGATGGCTTTTATTTCTGGCGTTAGTAACTTTTATGTTATATTTTTCTACACCGTAATGATTAGTGTCTTAAATTATTTTAATACATTTGTACCTGATTTTAAGCAAATTCAGTATATGAAAATTAGGATTGCCATAAGATAAAAATAGGATAGTTAGGGGTGTCTTTTGGTTCTTTTTTGATACCATTTTTAAAAATTCATGAGCTTTTATGGAAATTTGTTCTGTATACAATGTTTTAGAGACAAGCCTGGTATATCTGTATTAATCAGTGGTTTCAAAATCAAGTAGTAATAAATTGTATTATATTTACTGTTGTTTAGATTCCTTTTTCTCTCTGGCATAAGAGGTATCATTTCTTTCTTAGGGCAGTTGGTTGAGGTTTTCTGCTTTTGTTGGCATTCCTCTTTTTTAAAAATGGGAATTGAAATTAGCATTGCTATAAGGAAAATACTTGTAAACCTAGGATAGTTACACGTATGAAACTTTCTCTCACAAATTTAAGACAATCAGGTTACTTTCCTGAGTTGTCCTCACAAAGTGGCTCAGAGACTTCGAGGGCCAGACCTGTTCTAGGCCACGGAAGCCAAAGGTGAGTCACGAGAGACGGATTCCTGCCCTTCCAGAAGTGCCATGTGGGACGGCTCAGGTATGGTGAACAGAATGATCGTCTTGGCCGATCAGGTGTGAACTGGCACCTCAGGACGGGAATTCTCTTGTGACACAGAAAGTTGAGAAAGGATTTACTTATGCTTTGAATTTGACAAAATCAAGGGCTTTCATTTCAAAAGGTGAAAGTATAAGACACCATGACTTCCTTTCTCTCTTTTCGCTATTTATGTTTTTCAGTTTACTGGCTACTAAATAATTACCAAAAAGAACTTTGCTCACATAATGAAAACCGTTAAAAAAAAAAAAAACAAAAAGAAAAAAAACAGGAAGCTGCATCTGTGTGGTTCTGATAATGAAATTATGTAACTTTTTGGTTTGCTGTCATAAGATTGTACTTTATTGTGTGCCATTTATGCTTATGAAGTTTATCATGCAGCCTTCTTTGCTTCCTCAAGCCACTGATATTTGTTCTGTTTGTCTAATTTAGCACAGATTTTGATAGCAATGCCCTTTCCTTATTCCATATCAGTGGTATTTCAGTACTTTGTTCTCTTCAGGTGTTAGGTGGTATTGTGTACATAACTCTGGACATAAATTTTTTTTTTCTTTTCTTTTTTTTCCTTACTGGGGTTAGGTGGTATCTCAATGTGGTTTTGATTTGCATTGGACATACATTTAAAAAGATAAACAGTATAGCTCTTGGTCAATAAAACCACTTCTGTTTATACTTGCCAAGTGTAAAACTTTTCTCTTTTAAAACTGAAAGATTATTTTAACCTGAAACTAGTTGAAACGTTTACTTTGTTTATATTATATAAGAACATTTTAATCGAGGCATTTTTCAAGGTATTAGCCAGTAAGCTTTTTTGTTGGCATATCAGTTACCAAACTCTATGTCCAGTGAAGCTGCCTCTTAAAAAAAAAAATGGGCAACTTCTCAAAACTTTTATTGATGATTAATTATTATCCTAACATTAAAATTACACTATAGTAGGTCAGTTGCAGTGAGTGGTTCACACGTGTAATCCCAGCACTTTGGGAGGCTGAGGCAGGAGGATTGCTTGAGCCCAGGAGTTTGAGACCAGCTTGGGCAGCATAGCAAAGACCTTGTCTCTACAAAATATTAAAAAATTAGCTGGGTGTGGTGGCATGCACCCATAATCCCAGATGCTCGGGAGGCTGAGGCAGGAGGAGCAGGAAGTCAAGGTTGGAGTGAGCTGTGATCACTGCTCCTGCCCTCCAGCCTGAGTGACAGTTGAGACCCCAGCTCAAGAAAAATAAAAACAAAAAACAAAAAAAATTACACTGTAGTAAAGCAGATAGAATTCATTTCCCAAAGCAAATTTTGCATAGACTGTACAACTCAGGAAACTGCTATTAACATCTTCTACCTTAATCATGAAATGTGAGTTTATTGTGAAGAATTTAAAAAATGGTGTGTGTTTGTGTATGTGTGCACACACATATATATGTGTGTATGTATGTATATAAATAATTATTACTTTTGTCTTTTAATCTCTCAGCTAACAGAACTAAAGGCAGACTTTCAGTACCAAGAGTCAAATTTGCGAACGAAGATGAACAGTATGGAAAAAGCTCACAAAGAAACTGTGGAACAACTTCAGGTAGACGGCCTCACTTACGTCAGTGTTAGGCAGAGGGGGCTAGCCTTGGGTCGTAGTTTTCACTGACTTGGATTGGTGCTGGTGTCCCTGTTTTGTGTATCCTGTCAGGTGTTTCAGTTTCAGTTTTGATTCTGACTTTATCATCCCATTAAAAGCTGAATTACCCTTGAAGGGTAATTCAGTACATTAATCCTGAGCACTTCTGCCTAAACTTCACGGTTTTTCAGAGATTATTGTTGGAGTAGGCTCTACTGCTCATCAGGCTAAGAGCAAAAATTTAACCCTTTGCACTCGGAGCCATCTCGAGAATCACACCAGCAACTCGACTGCACTTTTTTACCAAGTAGTAAAAAACCAGTCCCTTCCTATTAAATAGTATAGCGTTGGAGCCAATTATTTTATTGTAATGATATTTTGCTTATGATGGAATTTGGGACATTGAGGAACTTATTTATGACAAAAATAATCAAAATTTTATATCTTATATTTTTCTTACGTGGTAACATGAAGCAGTCACTGACATATATTGCAGATTCACTGGTATGTATTGTGCAGTAGTAATTTTTGGGCGCCTTCCACCTGGTGTTTTTCTGTTTGAGCAGACAATGCAGTCTTGTTTTATCCTACCACACTAATAACATGTCATTTATTGTCCAGTCTGTTGTTCATAGATGAAGTGGAAGGACATTCTCTTTCTACATAACGCCAGCTGATATTTTTTTGGGATGTATATCTCGGTATATATTCTGTCTCTTTATTTGCTTTTTCATGCAGTTTGAATAGAAAGCTTCAAGGAAACATACATTTTTGAAAAATTTGTGCTGGCGTAATTTTGTCCTGTTACAATCACCAGCAACCTCTTTATGTCCCCTGAGAGGGGACACCCGAATGGTTTGCTGTACACCGAGATGCAAAGGGTTAAAAATCAGATTCGTGAAACTTAGGTGAAAGTAAGTCCTCCTTTCTGCCTCCCTCCAGGTAATGAGAAGGGAGGTGGGGTCTAGAGCCATTTCTCAGGAAGTTATGCTGCGTGCAGTGATGCCGGGCAGGGTGTGCTGCACCTGTGTCTGTGGCTTGCAGATGCCAAGGAGGCTTCTGCTGTGTGCCCGCAGGTAGAGGTCCACATCATCCTCAGAGTGCGCAGTGTGGTCCCTGGAATTTAAGTGCAGAGCAGCTGAATGGTGAGGCCCAGAGTCACCACAGTAACGGAGAGGGTAGGCCCGATGTCTGGCAGGCGGATGGTGAGCATCCAGCATGGGGATGGGTTATTCCTCAGGAAAGCTTGCTCTCACTCAGGGTCTATAAATTTAGAAATAAGACCATACTAAACTAAATACAGGTTCTCTTTGATTTATGCATTCCGACATTTGTAGAATTAGTCTTTAGTAAAAGGCATTTAAGGTTAAGAAGTTTTAAGCCTTGAGAACATAAAAGGTGCCGGTACACAGACTACATACAGGCTTGTGGGAATGTGCAGCTTTGGAGGCAAGGAATTAGTACTGTCCCGTTTTTGTTTGTTTTGTTTTTTAACATTGTAACGGCAAAGGGCTATTTCCTGTTCCTATTTTTTGGTTGTGTATTCTTCATACTTCTTTGCAAGTAGTTCGAATTTAGTGGGATTTAGGAGCCTGCTGAAATTTGAGGTACAGGTTGCCTGGTCTTCACCCTGCTCTTACTATTCCAAAGACTGGAAGAGGACGCTCATCCAAAACTGGGACATGGCAGGCGTTCCAACAGCCTGTGACTAAGAGGTGCCCTGTGGAGATGGCTGTTGGCCCCCACCGCCCTGGGAGTGCTCATATCTTATGTCAGGCTTCCCGTGTGTTAATTACTATTTTCATGCACCTGCAAGTGTTGTTTCTAGTTTTATGATATTCTTATCTTTCTCATTCAGTGATGCTGAATGATTACTTAGAGCAGAATCTTTCACACAGTGATCTCTGGTTTAAGGCACCATGAGCAAAGCTTCAGTGACAGTCTAGAGTTTTTATAACAGAAAAACTGTGAGCAGTACTTAACTATGATTTAGCTTAGTCTTTTCCACTGTCTTAAAGAGCAGTTTTTTTGTTTATTTGCATCCTAGTTGCAAGCACAGGGGAACCTTCTATGGCTTGGCCTGATTGGTGTCCTAAGCCTAGCTCCTCTTGGTTCCATGAAGGACAACAGCAGCTAATGCTCATATAGAGACAGGACATTTCGACATGAGCTCACATATGCTGTCTCATGGGCACCTTAGGATGTCTGAGTTATGTGACCTGCCCTTCTTATAGAGGAACCTGTGAGTGCACAGTTATTAACAGGGACATAGAAGCCACCTTTTCTGACCCGGGCGTGGCCATGCTTCCCCCTGTTCACACTGGCTCCCACCTCCTTGGGTTGCCCAGGTTCTGTCTTCTCCTTACCAGACCACCTGCCCGTGCCTCTCATGTTATAGCCAGAGACATTCTTCCTCTAGAGATTGTATAGATTATTTTCTGAGATGAGTGAATGTAATCATTGTTCTTATCTTTATGTCATAAGGAATTGAGCCCTATAACAAAATTTATCTTGCTGTAATAGCTCTTAAAATATATTTAACCACTAAGCCTGGGACTAGGCACTGAATACCACAAGAAAAACCTGTCCAAAATGTCCTTCCAAGTTGTTTAAAACACTAAGAATAGTAAATATAAATTCTGCCATTTGTTGAGTTGGACAAATTGGCTGAAAGGAGACGAGGCCTCACATGTGGATGCCTTCTGTTTATTAGTCCCCATGTAGGCTTACCGTCCCGTACGTCTGATTAGTTTTCTCAGAGCATCTTGAGGTGGGTGGTGGAGTTTGTTTTACAAATGAGAACACAGACTCAAGTTTACAGAGCAGGTAAGCGACAGAGCCACGGTTTAAAGCAGAATCTGTGTTATTCTTAATCCAGTTCTTTTTTTGGCCAGTATTTCTAAGTGTTTTATGCGTTCTAAAGAGTTTTTAAATAATTTCGTTGATTTCTGCAAAGTGTAAAATGAAGTAATTTGAAGTTTAAATTTAAATTGAGTATATGTTTATTGCATTATAAAATTCATTTTTTAGTAGACTAAGACAAATTTGGACTTGTGTTCATTTCATAATTGATATACAACCTTAAAGGCTCTTGCCTCTCACATAACTCATCAAATAAGTGTATTAGTGATGTGCTTAGGTAACTATGTATATAAAATTACAGACGAGCTATAAGCTGCTAAAGCATTAAAACTGCTTTCAAGATCTAGTGTTTGAATTTTTGTATTTTGTACTTAGAAAATGAAAATTAGAAGCTCATTAATTTATTTTATTGGTGAACATTGAGAAAAAATAATTTGGAGCTTCACTTTTTGACCATTTAGTGTATCAATTCAAACATTTTTTTTTTTTTTTGAGTTGGAGTCTCACTCTGTCGCCCAGACTGGAGTGCAGTGGCCGCTCCTGGCCACCGCAGCCTTGACCTGCTGGGCTCCGGTGATCCTTCCGCCTCACTCTTCCAAGTAGCCGGAATTACAGGCATGCGCTACCACGCCCGGCTGATTTTTTGATTTATTGTAGAGATGAGGTCTCACTGCCCAGGCGGGCCTCGAACCTGCGGGCTCAGGCAATCCACTCACCTCAGCCTCCCAAAGGCGTGGGATTACAGGCTGAACCACTGAGCCCGGCTAGTTCAAACATTTTTATGTAATCGTAACTTAGAGATCTGGTGGAGGTCTTTTTGAGACAAATTGTAGATATAACTTTTTTATTCTCTTTATTAATTTGTATTTTGAAATTTATGTTTCTTATTTTTAGCCAGTAGGTTTATAAATTAAATCCAATGTAGCTAACAATTAAATACAAAGCTTAGACACCACATTGACTAGGACTGGTTATGAGTGTTCACTTGATTTTGCCTCACTGCCAGATATTCTCATTTGATCTGTACTCTAAGTTTCTTAATCTGCTTTGTTGTAAAGGGAAAGTAAAATTCCTTTTCAATTCTTGGTGGCTTTCTAAATTTGAAATTGATGCTGAATTTGAAATTGAAGCTTTTCGTTACCACTTTAGTTATTTAATGAACATTGAATAGGGAACCTCTATTAAGTCAGGCAGCTGAATATAATAAATGACCTGCACATATAAGCCCTGAGAATATTGTATTTTGGATGTCCGTGGTGTTACTCAGGAAGACGGAGATTGTAGAAGGGTGGGAGAACACAAGTGCACAGTCGGGAAAGGTTCCTATTTCATGAAGCGTCTTGAAGCGACTGACAGAGCAGGCAGGTGTCATCTCCCTTCTGTCTTTCAGCCATGTATAGCTAAAGGCAGAGTAGAGGAGGAAGTTTGGAGGCCAAAAATGTCTGGATAATAGGAAACATTGAAACCCATGAAGGAAAATAATGTTCAAACATGAGCCAGAGGATAGCTTTCAAAAATGGGTTAACTTTAGGGCAGTGCTCACGTTCTAAACTGTTTTTCCAATTTCCCCACTTTAGCTGGGAAACTTCAAAAGTGCCTTATTTAAGTTTCCTCTGCCAAGAGACTGAGTGGGGGAAAGGCAGGCAGTAGATGGCGATCGTCACTGAAGGCCTCTACACGTTGCTCTCACTAAACCAGTGATTGGCATAGCATGTTGGCTCAAGGACAGTGTCTCTGTCAGTGATGGGTGGGACGTTGGATAATGAGTGCAATTCAGTTTGGATCGTTGGCAAAGTGAGATTTTGAAGCCTTGCCAAAAAAAAAAATTCAGGTTTTCATGAGTTGCAAATGATGATATGGAGCTGCTCAAATCATACCAAAGCTGGTGACAGATGACCCTGGCAGTTCAAGGAACAAGAGCAAGTTTTGAATAAGGGCAGTCCTGATGGTGCTTAAAAAAAAAATTGCATCTCGTTACATGCCTTTGGCAAAGTGATGAATTCTGATTATTTTTTGCAAAAATGACCTCTTATAAATTTGTTCTACCTGAAGGTAAACTTTGAATGAAAGACCTCATACACCTTGCTGGGAAATACTCCTCTCAGATCAACACTTGATTCATTCTTTGATTTTATTTATTATAAAATACAACTTATTTTCATAGTTTTTATTTCATGTTTTAAGTTTTTATTTCATTTTTTCCTTATTGAATACTTGGGCTTTTAAGTGGATTCACTTTGTTGCTTTTTTTTTTTTGGTAACCAGTTGTATCTTTGGACAACAATTATATTAATGACATTTAGAAAGGGGCTAACATGCCAGTCTGGAATTTTCCCTCTGTATATTCAGCTTTAAAGAGATGAACCTGAGTGGACCAACTCTTTCATGTAACCCACTAGTGTTAGAGTGGGATTATTTGTCATACAAATGAACACTTAAATCTTCAACAGATCCCCTAATGATATTTCAAACATTTTTAATCTTGAACATTTTTGTCTCCCACAGGCCAAAAACAGAGAACTACTCAAACAGGTCGCAGCATTGTCAAAGGGTAAAAAGTTTGATAAAAGTGGAAGCATACTAACATCTCCTTGAGAAAGTAGTTATTTGTGTAGTGTTTCCTCTTACAGTGTAAATTTGGGGGGAAAATTCTGTGAAGCCCTTAAATTCTGTGTAGTGGGAAAATATTTTTACACACCAAATGAATTGGTGTGTTTCCTATTCACTTTTGTAACTGATATACAGCATTTTTAAAGTTGTAAATGTTGAAATAAAACTTCAACTGGTTTGAAGTCACTTTTTAATTATCTGATACCCAGGAACTCTTTTGCCAGCAATAGTATATATTCACAGTGGTGAGGGAGTGCATGGTAGTGCTCTTTGTAAAACGCAACATGTAATAATAGAGTAGGGGTGGGTTCGGAAGTCAAGGCAGCAGGGCGTTTGGTTGTTTTGTTGTACACTACACTAATTTCAGATAAATCGTTTTCAGTTTAGAAATACAGAAACTTTTGAACAAGAAAAATGGTGAACACTGATTTTTTGAGAATTGTGTTTTTACTTTGCATCAACATGAATTTCAGAGAGAGTCATGGTGCTTTTATTAAATGAACTTCAGAATATATGTAAATGTGTTTCTAAAAAGTTACACCATTCACATTACGTAGTAGCTTAGCATTTTCATTATTGGCCTAGAAATTCATGTTTATTGTACAGTTTACAAGGTAAAATGTGTTTCTGTTTTGTAAAAACTGTAGATTTTTACTTACAAGTGCCTTTTTGCCACCTAATGTTTTTATTTATAGGAATGCCAATCTTTTGTACATACAGTTTCTTTTAAAATCATGTTTAATAAATGTTTGTATATAAATGCATATGTACAGAAGCCTATTTCAAAAGGAAATCAAAATTGCTAGTAAAATGTTCGAGATTGCATTAAGAACTAACTGATAACACATATAGACTTTAGGAGATTTGTGGTTTGTTTCTGTGTGATCAGGGAAGCTTTTGGTCATTGAATTCACTTAATTATGCCAAAATACTTCCCCAAAGATTTAATTTTAGATTACTTCTGAGAGAGTCATTTTATTTTTTATGTTATATGACTTCATGATTCATATTTTGTGAGTAACATGTTTTGCTTTATGATTTTTTTATAAAATTACTTTAAAAATTATGTTTCTATAATGGTCCATGTATATGCTTTCCTTATAATGTGTGGTTATCTTAAGTTAATATTTATGTACACCATACTTAATTTGTAAGTTTAAAGCAAATCTGGAAAAAAAATAACTTTTTATCTATCCTGTGATTATCTCTGAATAAATTGAAATCTATAAGATTCAGGCACTATTTATAAGTAAATTGTCTCAAAGTCTTTAAAATTGTCTATAAAAGGTTAAGGCAGGGTGGGATAAGTTATGTGAAGTTATTAACTAATTATATTGTGATCCAGTGGTTTTCAGCCTGCAGTGGAATTGTTTAATGTAAGTTCAGACTTTTAGCTCGACTTTAAAATCTCAGGCATTGCTAGATACACTGTATAGAGGGAAAGAGTTCCTTGCCTTAGGAATTTATGTGCAAAGATAAATTTGTTTCAAGTAAACTGTTACAAAATTCATCAGTTTTGAAGGTTTTGATTTTAGACAAGTATTGATTATGAACGTCACATCAAAGATTGGCTTTCTTAAAAACAAACACATCATGATTGTAACAGTTCTCTTTAACATGATGTGTGTTTTGGTAGACTTCTTACGGTTGTTCGTTATAAAGTGATACCAAATAATTATTTGTCCAATTTGAAAGCATAGTGTAATTTTCAAGTGACAGTAGAAGTTTATTTTTATGAGACCTTCATGTAATCTTCCTTAAAGTTTGTACTCTCAACCATGCTTGATATGCCTTAACATGGGTTTTAATGTTTGCAAGATTTGCTCAATTCATAAGATAGTTAACTACCTTTCTTTATGATTTGTAATGTTTTATATTCTTGTTTCATAGCCGTTGTCAGTCCACAGTGGTCATTCTTGTTTTACTGTGTCACAGTTCTTATACCTTGTTGGAGATGCTACAGAGGAAAGCTGTCTGCCCCCCTCCAGCTTACATTGAAACTGAAAATAATATAATTTTAATTTTAGCTAACGTTAAAATTGAAGGTAATTTAATTTTAACGTTAGCTAACATTAACAGTCTAAATAATAAAACTTGGTAAATTCCAAGGCTAAAAATCTTTTAGGGGCTTCACAGTATTTAGTCCTAATTAAATACCCGATCTTTATTCTATGACCTTATTTTATAACTTAAGTTTTTTGCAATTGTATAAACTAGTAACTGAGTCCCAGTCCTGGATCTGTAGTGTGTTGACATAATGAGCTGATATTCTTTGAATGTGGACCTGTAAGGAGATATTATGGTGTGCTGTATCGTGCTTTTAGCCTGTTTTCTGCTATTAATTAGCATTTACCGGTGAGGGTCATTTTGGCTCAAGTTATTTATGTATTAATAGCCTGTGAATATTGCAGTCCTTTTTAGATTATATTGGTCTAAATATACATTCTGCAATGAACCCGTTAAGCTGTTCACATGTATAGACTATTGAAATACTGTACTTGTACACATCTGACTGTTGACATTTTGTACTTTTTTCTAAATCCAACATTTCACAATAAAAACTTGTCAAAGGCTGTATTAGTTTCCTGTTGCTGCTGTAACAAATTCCCACAAACTTAGTGCCTTAAAACAACAAAAATTAATTCTCTTACAATTCTGGAGACCGGAAGTCCAAAACCAGATTCACTGAACTAGAGTGAAGGGTGGCGGGTGGTTCCTTCTGGAGGCTCTGGGGAAAATTCTGTTTCCTCGCATTTTCCAGCGTCTAGAGCTCCATTCCTTGCATGCTGTGAGCTCCGTTTTCAAAGCCAGACGTGTAGCCTCTTCTTATAATTTAAGGACCTTACAAGGACATCACTGGCTCCACCTGGATGAATAGGACAATTTCCATCTAAGGTCCTTAGCTTAGTACATCTGCCAAGTCTCTGTGGTCATGTGAGGTAATGTGGTCACAGGTTCCAAGGATTAGGGTGTGGCCATCTTGGGGGGTGGGGTGGGGAACCATTATTGAGCCTACCATAAGCTTCACCTACAGTTTTCCTTTTTTCCCCTGCCATGAAGTCCTAAAACAGGTAAGAAGTAGCTCAGGCCAAACAATAGAAAGCATTTTCCTCTCTGTTAATTCACACTACTTGAGTGCAACAGGTATTTTCCTGGAAAAACAATACAAATTTTTGTGTAGTTCAGCTCTTATTTTGAAGCAACAATACAGCAAATCAAGCTATGTATGAAGTTTTTGAAGCTTGACTATTGTCAATGCTAGGTGGTTTGACAGGACAAAAGTTGAAGACATGATTCCATTTCTTTTTTCTTTTTCTTTTTTGAGACAGGGTCTGTTGCTCAGACTGGAGTGCAGTGGCACCATAATGGCTCACTGTAGCCTCAAACTCCTAGGCTTAGGTTAAGGTCCTGCTGCCCCAGCCTCCCGAATAGCTAGTACTATATGTGTGCCCCATCATGCCCAGCTAATTAAAAAAAAAAAAAAAAGACTTGTAGAGATTGGGGTCTCACTATCCATGACTTTGTAATAACAGACTGGTTTTGAACTCCTGGACTCAAGCAGTGCTCCCTTCTCAGCCTCCCAGTGTGCTGGGATTACAGTCATGAGTCATCATGCCTGGCTGAAGACATGATTCTTTAATTGATAAAGTAGTTGAGAAGAATATGCGTGGAAAAAATGTTTGAACCTAACTTTGGCCGTTATAAAGTGCAATAAAAAACTAGTAGCTTTTAGCAAGGGCATTTCAAGAACGGAGAGAAGGGAATAGCCACTGGTTTCTCAAACATTAGCGAGCATTAGTTACCTAGAGGGCTTGTTAAGCATATACTGGCCGACCTCACCCCCAGTTTCTGATGCAGGTCTGGAATGGGGGCAAAGGAATCAGCATTTCTCAGTTCTCGGAGAATGCTGGTGCTCCGGGCTCAGAGCCCAGATTTCCAGAGCCAGCATTTCAATAATTGACTGCATCCCCCCAGATAGACTATACCCCTGGGTAGGTAAGTAGTAGGTGGGGGGTACTTTAAAGAACCACTCCATTTAATGAAAAAGAAAGGATGGAATCACGATATCATCATTTTGCAACTTACACTGGAGGTAACCACTGGCCATCAACAGCAACCAATGATACATGAGGAGACGCGTTTCTACAGCAAGTGCGTTCTGGTTGAGGAACACTGCTGCTGATACCTGGGAAGTTATTTGGCCACAAAGAATCGAACCTAAGTCTAACCAAACATCTACCAATTAACAGGAACTAGGATGGAATATCATTGTGGATGGCACCACAGTTTTGCAATTGATCCAAATGTGTATCCAGTAGGTTGCAACAGGAAAGCCTATTGCAGGAGAAGTACTCAGGAGAAATCAACACTCACAATGCCTGACCTGATTTGGATCTTTTTTGCAAAAGAGGTATTCAGGAGATAGTAACCTGTCACAATGCCCAACCTGATTTGGGGCTCAACTGAAAAAGAGGTAATCTGGAGAAATCAACCAGTCACAATGCCTGACCCAATTCGGATCTTTATTGCATAAGAGGCACTCAAAAGAAAGTAACCAATCACAGTGCGTGACCTGATCTAGATCTTTATTGCAAAAGAGGTACTTAGAGGTTCTTAACCTGTCACAATGCCTGACCTGATTCAGATCTTTGTTGCAAAAGAAAGAGGTACTTGGGAGAAACTAACCAGTCACTATGCCTGACCTGATTTAGACCCTTACTGCATCAGAGAAGTCAGGAAATACCAACAATCATAATGCTGACTGGATTTGGATCTTTATTGCAAAAGATGTACTCAGGAGAAATCAACAATCACATTGTGTGACCTGGTTTGGATCTTCATTGCCAAAGAAGTACTCAGGAGAAATCAATCAATAACAGTGCCTGAGTGATGTGATTTGGATCTTTATTGCAAAAGAGATACTCAGGAGAAATCAACCAATGGCAGCGCGTGACCTGATTTGAATCTTTATTGCCAAAGTGGTACTCAGGAGAAATTAACCAATCACAATACCTGACCTGATTTGCATCTTTATTGCATAAGAGGTACTTGGGAGAAATCAGTCACTGTGCCTGACCTGATTTGGAACTTTATTGCATAAGAGAACTCAGGAAATATCAACAATCATAATGCCTGACCTGGATTTGGATCTTTATTGCAAAAGATGTACTCAGGAGAAATCAACAATCACATTGTGTGACCTGGTTTGGATCTTTATTGCTAAAGAAGTCCTCAGGAGAAATCAACCAGTAGCAATGCCCGACTGATTTGGATCTTTATTGCATAAGAGATACTTAGGAAAAAACAGTCACAATGCCTGACCGGATTTAGATCTTTATGGCAAAAGAAGTACTCAAGAGAAATCAACTAATGACAGTGGGCCGCCTGATTTGAATCTTTATTGCCAAAGAGATACTCAGGATATATCAACAATCACAATGCCTGACCTGATTGGGATCTTTTTTGCAGAGATATTCAGGAGAAATCAGCCAATCACAATGCCTGACCAGATTTGTATCTTTATTGCATAAGAGGTACTCAGAAGAAATCAACCAGTCACAATGTTTGACCTAATTTGAATCTTGAATCAAAGAAAAATATATTTTAACATTTATGAGACAACTAGAAATTCAAACACTAGTCATATATGATATTAAGAAATTACTGTAAGCTTTTCAGGTGTTATAATGGTATTGCAGCTGTTTTTTCCTAAAGAGTTCTTCCAGAGACACCTACTGGATATTTACAATGAAATGATACGACGATTAGTATTTGCCTCAAAATCATACAGAAAAGGAGATGGATGGGAATAGAAATGAAAGAGGACTGGCTGTGTATTTTTAATTTTGGGCACTGGGTGATGTGTATATGGTGGTTCATTGTACTGTATTGTTCAACCTTTTAATATAAGTTTAGGTTTTTCATAATAAAAAATAACACCACCACTCCCATCACCTTTGCCAGATGGCATTCACATTGAACAATGCATGTTCGCCCCTCCCCCAGTACAAAAAAGCAGAAATAAAAAAGACCATTCAAAATTCTACCTGGGGACATTTTGTTTTTGATTTTGTATGTTTTCTTCCGGCATTATTGTAAGCTTGGGGAGGCTTAGCATGACTGACTCTATTTTGCCTCTGTAGTGATATCCTTTAGGTTAAAAAGCTTCTGCTTAGCTTCACATAGACCAGCTAATTGTAGGAGAAATTTGGTTTATAGTTCAGCTTTAGAAAAAATGGTAACAGTCTCTTTCCCAAAACTAACCCCCAGGAGGTAAGGAGAGTGTACATGTTACAAACAAAGTTACTTGTAAAGTTACAGTGTTGCTTACAAAGTAACAGTAGTGCTTACAGAGTTACGATGGTACTTACAATGTTGTTCTGTTCAAGACTTACAGGGAGACCACTGACAAAAGATTCCCAGCCTCCTCCCTGCATCCCTTTCTGGTTCCCTGAGGTTTGTGGTCATCAGTGACCTCCTGAACTCATCCCTTCCTCCTCCCCCTTAACATAAAAAGGAGCCTGAAGTTCATGCTGACTTAAGATGGTTCTTTTTTTTTTTTTTTTGAGTTGGAGTCTCACTCTGTTGCCCAGAGTGGAGTGCAGTGGCTGCTCCCGGCCACCGCAGCCTCGACCTGCTGGGCTCCGGCGATCCTTCCGCCTCAGCCTTCCAAGTAGCCGGAATTACAGGCATGCGCTACCACACCCAGCTGATTTTTTGATTTATTGTAAAGATGAGGTCTCACTGTCCAGGCGGGTCTCGAACCCGCGGGCTCAGG